AAAAAAAAAGAACGAAAAATATTCAAAAATAAAGAGATGTTAAGACCTACTGAAATTTCGACGGAATCTAAGCAGATCACCCAGAATTGCGCATACATGCACAATTTAAACGATTATCTCAACAGTACAGCTTAGTAGAGAAAAAACGTAAGATGCAGGAGAAACACAAAAAAAAACGAATGGTATAACAACTAAAGACACACCACGCTGACCATCCGTCAGTAGAAGGGAGAGCGATCTTCTCAAATATATTACAATATTGACGAGAGACTGAGGTTCCAGACAACGATTCAATCACTAGGCAGGCGATTCGACATTTTGTTTGGGAGAAAATTCGAGAATATGGGTAGGTCAAAGTGAAACAAAAAAATTCATAATAATCTATCGAATTTTGCCCGCTCGTTGGTACAAGGCATCAACCACCTCACCCATCGCGTGAATCGTTTTAAGTGCCGTTTCATATGTGGCGTCCGGTGATGAAACGTCATAAACAATCAGCATTCCGTCGCCTTGATGTAATGAACCGCTGAATTTCTTGTCAAGAATCATTTGTGAGAGTTTCTTTTCCACCTGAAGTACTTTGATATTGAGAACTAGAAATGAGATATGGAGTCATTACAGGAGAAGAAACAACAATGAACTACTACAACTACAATCACATTTGAGAAATTTAGAAAATTGAGATGAATAAGCTACCGCTTATGAACATTGCTAGCGTTGAAAATGGATAGTTGAAACAGCAACCCATTTTGAGCCTTGAGAGTGAAAATTATAATTACCGTTTTGGGCTGATGTAATGTTGATCTGGTCAACAATTATGCAACACTTATTTTCTGTTGAAATTTTTGAAATTCATAGTATTGAAAAGGCCCAAATATTCCTTATCAGGTAACCAAAGATCAAATGCTGTGATATCATATGCATAAGAAGATGGCTCTATGTTTTAGCAAACTATTCTCAGGTACCATTTTGATAAAAATAAGAAAGCCATGACGGAAAGAAAAATCATGAAGTATGACTAAAGTCACTGAAAAGCAACTTTGTCCATCAAACTATGCCGCGATACATGAAGGTTGTTATAATTTGATATGTTATGTCATCAAAACCGTAATCTGATCACATGAACAACTAAATAATGTGGGCAACTGTACTGAAAACTCATTGTTCGACCTGAGCAAGAATCAGGCATCTTATTCACATCTAAAACTTCTACACAAGAACTATGATGCTGCGAAACACCAGAGAAGCAATTTTGAGATAAAGAACAGAAGCGCATAAATTTGAAAGGTATGACATTTTTGATCTTCAAAATAAACATCAGAATGACATGAACTAATCTTTTTGGAGTTTTTTCTCTTTTCAAATCCATATTTTAACTTAACCGCCATAACTTCTTTAATGCTATATGCTATAACTTAGATTTGGAATGAGCGAAAAATAGAAATATAATTGGCTCCCTACTAAGCCCCACATTGTCTTACGCAGTTAGATTAAGGTAGGAGTTGACAGCAGCCGTTGACTCAGAAAAGCCATGGCAGGACGATAAAAACAGAAAGCGAACCTTTTCTCGATCAATACCAATGCTATTCGCTATGTGATCAATCTGGACGTAGGAGTATGGTTCAATAATGCGGCAGAGATCCTTTTCCAGCATTCTTTCACTCAAAGAGTTGAAATGTTTGCGCACAACTGGATCCATCTAGAAAGTGTTCGTTGTATATCATGGTAGATTACGAGGACAGCAGATTAATTAAGAAAAGAAACAACTTACTTGCAACTCCTGAGGGTAAGCACCAAAAGCGGTGTTGAAATCTGCAAGACTTCGCTTCTTCGCGGCCGCAGCGATGGCTCGCATAGCTTCCAGATCAGTGCCAGAATATTTAAGGGCAAGTTTACCCGTTAACAGCGTATTTACATCATCTGGCAAATCAAGCATGACCTATAATCAGCTGATTATAGCTAGAAGCTAGAAGGCTGAAAAGAGACGCGAATAATGTACCTTGCATAGAAGCATATATTTCAAAGATAGTAGAGCCAAATTCTTTTCATCAACCGAATCGTATCCTTCAAATGCCTCATAGAAATATGAAAATGCTGTTTTGAAGTCCTTCTCGTCAGCTGCGTGAAGAACACCAGATTGTAGATCAAGAGCAGCCTAAACAATGGACGCTTGGAAAACTTGACAAAATGATATGAAGTAAAGAGGTGATTACATAGTATCCGAAGAAAACAAAACCGAAATTTCTTTACACTTTCTCAAATTCAGTTTCTACACCAACTTAAACATATCATCTGAAAGCAGCGGTAAGACTCTTCTGCGATAACTTAGGGCTCTCTTTACCTTACTATTAGGAGGAATAATGGATCCCATATGAAAAGTGCGAATGAGCCAATTAAAAACGATATGTCCAGGCACTACAAGGAGTAACAAAACTCG